TCTGATCACCTAGCAATTGAATTTACATGTGAGCAAAGTAAGAACTTACGAACGTTTAACAGAGTTACTTTTAGGCCAATTACGGATGAGGGTCTTTTCAATCTGTACATGGAAATTGAGAAGGTTGACTGGTCATTCATCGGGGGAAATGATAACATCGAGCAAGCCTTTGAAACATTCATTCATCTAATCAGCAGTAAAGTTGAAAAATGCCTTCCATATAAATCACGTATCTTTGGTAGTGATAATAAAGGGGGAAGAAAAATAAATTGGTTTGACAGTCATTTGCGTGCTATGAGAGACCGTTTGAGGCTCCTGATGGATTGGTACAAGGTTAACCCACAAATAGTTACCAAACAAGCTGTTAACGAGTATAGATCACAATATCGACAGGATCACTAATAGCAAAAAACAAGCACACGACTTGTATATAAGCAATTCGAGCAACAAGCAGCTAGCAATGTGGAATATTATTAGATCCAATGTTACAGCTAATAATCAGAACAAAAGCAACATCTTGAATGCTAACGAATTCAATTCATACTTCTCAAGTATACCACGCTCATTGACATTATTCCTCCAGCAAATCGTGATGCACTAGGCTACTTGGTTCATATTGATAACATCGACCTTTTCTTGTTCAAAGAAGTATCCTAAAATCAAGTCAGATCAGCGATTTCATCACTAAAAAATTCTAAGAGTTCAGATGTACATAAATTGAATTAAAAAATTATAAAGACCATAATGAATCTGATTATCGTTCCACTAGCTAAACTTTTTAATATTTGTATTCGACATAGTACTTTTCCTAAAATTCTCAAGATATCCAAAGTCATTCGAATACTTAAAAATGGATCGGGTGATCTGCTTTCCAACCATCGACCAATTTTCTCTAAGGATCAACTAACCCTCTCATCTAGAGTCAAGTCAATTATTTAATGACAAGCAGTTGGATTTAGACGGACAGATCTACTACTACAGCAATCAATTGTCTTATAGATCTTGTTAACGAAGGATTTGAGAACCATCTACATACCAAGGCGGACCTTTCGATTTATCTAAGGCTTTTGATTGTCTGCAACATAGTATTTTAATAAAAAAATTACCTATTATCCACATTCATCCTTCTAGCATCAAGATTTTACACTCTTACTTATCCGACAGAGAACAACTAGTACATTTCAATGGCTGTAACTCTGATACCAGACCAGTGATCCATGGAGGTCCTCAGGTTCCGTACTGGGACCACTGCTGTTTTTATTATACATTAATAATATCCCCAATGCTGCTTTGTTCTTATATGCTGATGACACTACTTCGGTAAATTCTAATAAATATGTAATCACCCTTGTCGAAACTAGATCATTGTGTAAGTCGGACCTTGAGGATTGTTTTGCTGTCAATATGCTATTGCTCAACACTGATAAAACTCAGTCTATAATACTAAGCTTACGCAGTCATGAGTCGGAATCTGCTCAAACAGTGAAATTGCTAGGCGTTCATATTGACTGTACTCTGACATGGAGGTGCATACTCGCTGTGTGGTGGATCGTTTGTCTAGAGTTATATATCTCATACGTAGTCTAAAGGATAGAGTATCTGATAAAGTTTATTAACTGCTTATCACTCTAAAATGACATATGCAATTTTGGTCTGGGGACACTCTCCACATACGCAAAAGTGTTTGGCATGCAAAGGCGTTGTATACGATACAGTTCTGGTTTGAAATATAGAGACCCGTGCAATGCTGAATTCATTAAATTGGCCATTCCATGCGCGTATATTTTGAGTTGTCTCCTATATATCAAAAGTAACATTAGTACCTTCTCCACTCATAGTGATAACCACAAATATGAAACACGAAATAGAAACAACATTTGTCATAATAACTACCGTCTAGAAACATCAAGAGTTGGAACAAACTTTTATGGCATTAAATTTTTTAATCTGCCGCCCAACAATATAAAAACATTGGATATTGATGTTTTTCTGATATACCTTAAATGTTTATTTGTTCATTTCTCTCTCCAACTTGTGTACAGTTGTTATTGTTTTGTTTGTCTGTATATGTATAGTTAATTGTATTATACATATATTTTTCTAAGCGATCTTCTTTTTATCTCATGACGACATTTTGTATTGTTTTTTTTCAATTTGCTTTTGGTAATTATGCGTTACGCAACATTGCATTGTTTTAACTTGTTTTATTCATGTTTGATGTAGATTTTTCTAAGCGTTCGATGAGTATATATTGACTTGTGTAAACACTTTCTGTGTATTAACATCAATAATATTATTATTAATGTATTCTTATCATCGCCACTCATTTATATACACGTTCACACCTTTTTTGCAGCTCTAGGTTTTTTGTCGTTGTTCCAATTCTAAATGAAAATTACTTATCCAGTCAATCGGTAAGCGGCTGAAGGGAAATTACTGCATCTTGTACTATACTTAAACGCACAAATTTCAAAAATGTGCAGGTGATATGTGTACGCCGTCCATGAACCCGCAAGCCCCTCGCCAACAAGCTATCAGCAAGCTGTAGCGCGAACACTAAGCTATTTAGCAAAAAAATTCCAGAGACCTTTATTGATGACCCAAAAATTAGAAAAATTAACGTGAAAAGAATCCCATATATCCTCATACGTTTCAGCAAAAGAGACGTTTTTTGGGTTTTTCGCTGTTTTACAAAAAACGGCTGGTTTCCGGAAAACCAAACTCTTACGACAATATTCGCAAGCCTTTATTACACGATTACGTCAGCGGACATAACTGTGTGGCTACGTTATCACTTTTGCGGCAGTTTCGGCTATTTAACTGGACTACGTGGCATAAGAAACGTCCATGCACACTCAAATGATAGTATACATATTTATAATTTTACAGAAAAAGTAATCATATGATGACTACAGGCTACCTCAGAGCATTGCAGAACAGACCTAACAGATCACCTTCAAGATCCCAGATATTGCGCCACAGGCTTATTCAGGAAATATGTAGTCACGTCTTTTTGTACACTCCTAGATCATTAATATCTGTAATGTAATTTTATAATTTATTGAACAGTTTCAAGCCGAAATAGTTCTTACTGTTTTCAAAATTGGACGAATGATTTGCGAGTGTAATGGCTCTTCTTTACAATCGGAGATTACAAACGATCGTGTAGAGTGCATACTCGGCTGTACTCGCCGATTATCGGCTGTACTCTCCGATCATCGTCTATGATCCGTGAATTTTCGGTTTTTCGAACACGCATCAAAGGAAATCGCCGGGCCATATTGATGGTTGCCGTTTGATAAACTACTCATACTTATGCTCGTGTGGATGCTTGCCTGATGATCGTGCGTATTATGAACGATCATACCATCAACGATCATCGCCGATAGTGAAGTGCAGTTATGATAATCTGAATTGACTGGAAAGTCACAGAAATTTGATTTTACGTGCATTAATAGTACAATCATCATAATGTGGAACTGTGATTATATAGAGGAAATGCAACATATTTGGAATACTGCAGGTAACTTGGAATACCTAGTTATCTAATTAAATGTAAACGCCACACGGGAACGAAACGTCTACTTTTAAAACCTGTTTGGTAAGAATGCAAACATTGGTAATCATTTACTATGATACGTAAAATCTTCATTGCAATTATTTGAAATGTTATGAGTCCTTGTTAGTTTTTAATTTTATTTTGATTTTGTGATTATATTTAGAACTAAAAGTGTGACATGTTGTTAATTTGGAATACTGAAAGTGAATATGATTTGGAATATTCCAAATTTAATGCACATACTTACGGTATAGGTATTAATTCCTCTGTGTTTTTTAGAAATATAAACAACATCCCACAAATACAAGAAAAGAACGAGATGGGAAAAGGAGAAAATGTGCTTAATGTTCGTTTTGTGGGTTCACGCTGCTTGTAGTGGTTATGAATCCGGTGTGTATATATGTGATTATTGTAAGAACACTAAACTTATTTCAGGCTAAATACTGATTTGTGATTATTGTGACTGATAATTTGATAATTGATTATCATAGGCTATTTTGTTACACAGATTAATTACCAAAGTCTGTAAATCGGTTACAAAGTTGAGAAATGTATTAGTTTCTAGGAAAAGTGTAATCAATTGTCAAATAAAAGGTGATAATAATTTGGAATACTACATTACAAATTACCTGCACCCTAAGTAAATTTACGATTCTGGAGTTTTTTATTTTGATAAATATCTTGATGACACTGGTTTTTGTTTCGTTTGATTTCTTATATCATTAAAATTGAATGATTTCGCAATAATTTAATGCATTTTTAATTTTGCTATCCCATTTATCTTACAATGTATTTCCAAAAAAAACAAACCAGTATTACAAATATGCTGCAGTTCCTCTACTTCTTGAAAAGTTCTTTGTACGATGTTCGCGTTGCTACAACAGCTATTGTTCTCAATGCCCTTTACTGTAATATAAAAACCCTCTGCACATGACTTGAAGCTATCTAAAAAATAATGCCATATTTTACTCTAGAAGCAAACTGTGCATGATAGTATGAAATTAGGGTAGGATCGCACAAGAGTACGCACTTAACCAATTTACTTTGTTTAAAATAATTGAAATGCTTTAAGTTGAAATTTTTATTCAAAATATTTTAGCTTACATACTAATCTAAACTTAAAAGACAAATTTTGCCATACATTTTAACATTTAACGAAATATAAAAGTTTAAACAAAAACAATAAAATGCGTACTCTTAGGATACAGGTTCCTTAAGAGTACTCAATTGTGTCCTAAAGAGTACGCATGTAAACCAAAGAGTACGCGGTAAGATATATCGCCCAATTGGCTGTACCTAAACTTATCTTTTAAATGTAGGCATAAGTCACAAGAAAATAGGCCATTTCCTAGATAATTAGAGCAGTCATCATGCCACCATGTTTGACACAAGTGACACTTAATCCAATCGGATGTAGAATAATGCTCGGAACATCCGAGACAAATCGTATTGTCTTTTTCATTGTCAACTTTTTTCTTCTTCTGGATTTCTGTATTTTGCCCAGAATCACCAAAAACTTTTCTTTTTCCTCCCTTTTTCTTTAGGCCTTCTTTACGCCTATCTTTTTCTTCCAACAATTTGTCTTTGTATGGGGTAGATGACAGGATTTCCGACTTTTTAGATTTAGTTCTTCTTACTTGTTCATGGGTAGCTTTTGGTAACGGTAAAATCATTTTAGGAGTAATACAAACACTTAAACCTAGATCAATCGGTGCCGCAGACGTAGCCTCAACATAAGTTGAAATTTTGGTAAAGCCTGTACTTTTTGGACTTGGTGTTCTAGTTTGCTCATTTTCAAATAATTTTTCCTTATCGTTTTTAGGCGGGATATAGCCACTTGTACCTGGTTCACTTAGTTCCTTAGGAGCTGCTTTAAAGTAAGCTGTACTTTCAGTAACGTCTGAACTTTGTGGTTCGGGAATCGTAGATTGCTTTTCTTCGGTTAATCTTAAGTTTTCTTTTATTATGGTATTTCTTACTTCTGCAAGAGTGCAATCGTCATCAAATGAACTCTCTTCAACAGATGATTCGATTCTTTGTATTTCAGATTGAGTTTCTTGGGCCAGGTCTAGATGTGGTCTGTTTGTGACCTCAGATGGAGCAAAATCTAAATCACTAAAAACGTCTGGGTTATAAGGAAACAACCCAGTGCAAGCAAATGATTTTTCACATATTTCTATAGTAGTGACTTTTGAATAAGCAAAATGGAAAATGGCAGCCATTTCTTTTAAAGTAATAGGGCGTCCAGGGTTGTTGACCATCCATTTATCGCATTCGTTTGAAAAAGCTGTTTTTAAGGGAAAGAAAAATCCTTTATCTAAGGGTTGAATTTTATGGCTTGCATGAGGAGGTAGGGTTAGTAGCGTTATAAAATGACTTCTAGAGAATAAAATGGTCTCCAATGAGCAATGAGATGTGTGATTGTCCATTATTAAAACCACTGGATCTGTTTCGGATGGTTTTACAAAGTCGCAAAAATGTCGCAACCAAATTACAAACAAATCAGTGTTCATATAACCTGAATCTGAGATCATTTTTAATGTCCCAGGAGGTGCTCCAAAAAAAAGTTCCTCCTTCATTCTTTTTCTTGCGAAAATAAGACCTGGCGGAACCCAAGTACCACCAGCGCTCATGCAGCATACAGCCGTAACTAGCTGACCTCGTTCACCTGATACAACTTTTGACACAGTTTTCTTCCCTTTACAAGCATAAACTTTTGGGAGCTTGTTTGGTACGGTAGATAATCCCGTCTCGTCCATATTAAAGATCCTGTGTGGTGGTAGTTTTAATTTTTCGTAAACTATTTTTAAATTTTCGAAAAAGCGTTGACACTGAACTTTATTAAAGCCGATAGCGCGACCTAAGCTGCATTTTTCTGGAGCTCTGAGAGACAAAGTATTTCTTGCTGCAAAATCTTGTACCCAGTGTTTCCCCGCCATCTTGTTTTCTGTATTAAACCTATGCGGAATTTTATTTAATTCTTCATACTGAAAGGCCAAGTACCTAACATCTTTCATACGCAGTCCATAAAATCTGTTATCTAGATCTTTGATATGGTCAGCCAATTCCTTTTCCTGTGCTTGTGAAAATACAGGCTTAAATCTACCCAGACTAGATGGAATAGTACCCTAAAATAAAAATAAAATTGCATTTTGACGTTAAAATCGTCAGTTTATTAACCTCTCGCAATCTTTTTCTTAATGTACACTCATTCACATGAAAGGACTTTGCGACCGATCTTTTACTTTCCCCTTTTGCGATGCGGTCCCTTGCTTGGTCGATGATTTCTTGAGTAAATTTTAATGATCTATCGCTCTTTCGCTTGTATTTACCCATTATAACAAACTAAAACAAATAATAAGAAGTCATTTCATGTGTCCCTAAGAGTACGCACGAATCCTAAGAGTTCGCATGCGTACTCTTTGCCTGCGTACTCTTAGGAACCTTGACATGAAAAATTTAAACACTGAGTTACAAATTTAGGCAACCAGAAAAACTGTATGTATGTCGCTAAGGATCAACTGTAAACATTACTGTTTAAGGCATATTTACGATTTTTTAAAAAATTTGCGATTTAATTAAATATTACTTACCCAGTAAGTTCAAAATATTACATGTAATTTCAGGAAAACTATTTTTTCCGCATATATGTTACGCATTTGTTAAAAATTGTCAGCAAAACTACACAAACTCTTGGGACAACTAACAACTAACTACTGACGAGACGACAGCCGACTGGCGGGGATAACAATAAAAAAATGGCGATCGCGTACTCTTATGGAACGCGTACTCTTAGGCGATCCTACCCTATAACTTTCTCTGAACATACGTGTCGGAGCCTCCAGATTGCAAAACAAATAAATTACAAGCTTTCACATAGTTTGCTTATGTGGTGCTCCCACTGAAAAGCTGCATCAAGATGAATTCCTAGAAATTTTGTATTTGCTACTTTACTACTTGAACCAACGACTTCCCATTGAGCTTGACTACTTGGCTCTCATTGATTGTGGTCGAACGAGGAGTAAAATTTATGAAGATAGTATTTTTTGCGTTCAGTGACAATTGATTGCTAGAAGAATTGCTTGTAAATTTTTTTGTCATGCATTGTAATTTATCAATTCATGACTCTAATCGTTGTAAGTTGTTAACAAATAGCAAAAACAGTAGTTACAGGTAAGTGATGGGCCAATTACTTAATAGCCGCTGCTCAGTCATTAGCACACCCGTTTGGAGGTATTGAGCTAAGACTCAATGGCAGATTTAGAGCGAGGCGCTGCTCCTCCTAAACACCCAAACCTACTGTTTTTCCGATAAAATGATATTATATATTACTACAATACAATACATCCTTGCTAATTCTGAATTTTGATATTACTAAGCATTTAGAAAGATCGAATTTTGACGGAAATATATTAGCACAAGTTCAATTTAATTTCATGGTTATCATCTTAGTCAAAAGTGTGTTGGGCCGGTCCACCAGATTTTCCTGATCTTTCAGACATTAAATGTTATTCAGAACATCTGCGTGAAATTGTAAAATGTACCAAAATGTTTATGGTTATGGGAGGGGTGTAAGATAATTGCTTATTTTTTCTGACGTGGGGGAGGGGGTTAATGATTGTAAAAAATCTGCTTACGTATATATGTATATAGATAACAGAAGGATATTTCTAAAGACACTATCTATGGTCTTCTAAACTGTTCTGTATGATAGGAAAATGTCATAGCGTTAGCTTAGTAACTTATTTCAAAAATTGGAAGAACCTTAATATACTACCTTGGATCGCCTGTAGTTTTGCTCAAAAGCGTATATTGTGAAACGTGATCAATTAATTCGGAAATTTATAGTGTACCTATGACTAAATGCACAACAAAATTATGTACTTACAAAACATACTGCAAAAACTGAACATAAAAATCCAAAATCAGGTATTGCAAATAACTATTTCAAATTCACTATGAAGTTTTATTTAGCTGAGCAATTGATCATTCGAAAGACGTAGTCACCAATCTGGCTGTTGACAGATAATTCGATCAATCTGATTGATTAGTTGGATTGATGTGTTGATGAATTGATGGATTAACGGATTGATGGATTATCGGACTGACGGTGTGACTGATTTGTGGATGATGTAGGTATTGATGGATTGATGGATTGATGGATTGATGGATTGATGGATTGATGAATTGATGGACTGATGGACTGATGGATTGATGGATTGATGGACTGATGGATTGATGGATTGATGGATTGATGGATTGATGGATCGATGGATCGATGGATCGATGGATCGATTGATCGATGGATCGATGGATTGATGGATTGATGGAATGATGGATTGATGGATTGATGGATTGATGGATTGATGGATTGATGGATTGATGGATTGATGGATTGATGGATTGATGGATTGATGGATTGATGGATTGATGGATTGATCGATTGATGGATTGATGGATTGATGGATTGATTTGATGGATTGATGGATTGATGGATTGATGGATTGATAGATTGATGGATTGATGGATTAATGGATTGATGGATTGATGGATTGATGGATTGATGGATTGATGGATCGATGGATCGATGGATTGATGGATTGATGGATTGATGGATTGATGGATTGATGGATGATGGATTAACGGATTGATGGATGGACGGATTGATGGATTAACGGACAGGCGGTTTGACTGATTTGTGGATTGATGGATTGATGGAATGATGGATTGATGGATTGATGGATTGATGGATTGATGGATTGATGGATTGTTGGATTGATGGATTGATGGATTGATGGATGCTGAATTGATGGATTGATGGATTGATGGATTGATGGATTGCTGGATTGATGGATTGATGGATTGATGGATGATGCTGGATTGCTGGATTGATGGATGTGGATTGATGGATTGCTGGATTGATGATTGATGGATTGATGGATTGATGGATTGATGGATGGTTGCTTGCTGGCTGGCTGGATTGATGGATGCTGGATTGATGGCTTGCTGGCTTGCTGGGATTGATGGCTTGATGGATTGCTGGCTTGCTGGCGCTGGCTTGCTGGCTTGCTGGATTGATGGCTTGCTGCGTGGCTTGCTGGCTTGATGGCTGGATGGATGCTGGCTTGCTGGCTGCTGGCTTGCTGGCTTGCTGCTTGCTGGCTTGCTGGCTTGCTGGATTGCTG